ATTCTCGTATCAAGGAGATCTTTATTTTTGTAGACATTTTATGCTCGTATCAAAGAGCCTTCAAATTTGTAGACATTTTATGCTCGTGTCAAGGAGCCTTCAAATTTTACACGTAGACCGTTTATTCTCGTGTCAAGGAGATTTTGATATGTAGACATTTTATGCTCGTGTCAAGGAGCCACATAGATAGTTTAGGCTCATATCAAGGAGCATATGTAGATAGTTTAATCTCGTATCAAGGAGCATATGAATTTGAGACTTGGTAGATAGTTTATACTCATATCAAGGAGTTCTTCATTTGGCTTGATTTGTAGACAGTTTATACTCGTATCAAGGAGTCTTTAATTTGGCCTGATATGTAGATAGTTTAGGCTCGTATCAAGGAGCATTTGAATATGTAGATAGTTTAGGCTCGTATCAAGGAGCATTTGAATATGTAGATGGTTTATGCTCATATCAAGGAGCATTTGAATATGTAGATTGTTTAAGCTCGTATCAAGGAGCATTGGAATATGTAGATAGTTTAGTCTCATATCAAGGAGCATTTGAATATGTAGATAGTTTAGGCTCGTATCAAGGAGCATTGAAATATGTAGATAGTTTAGGCTCATATCAAGGAACATTGGAATATGTAGATAGTTTAGGCTCGTATCAAGGAGTATTTGAATGTGAGATAGTTTAGGCTCGTATCAAGGAGCATTGAATGTGTAGATTGGAATATGTAGATAGTTTAGGCTCATATCAAGGAGCATTTGAATGTGTAGATAGTTTAAGCTCGCATCAAGGAGCATTGAATATGTAGATAGTTTAGGCTCATATCAAGGAGCATATGTAGATAGTTTAAGCTCATATCAAGGAGCGTTGTAGATAGTTTAAGCTCAAATCAATGAGCATTTGAATATGTAGATAGTTTAGGCTCATATCAAGGAGCATTGTAGATAGTTTAAGCTCATATCAAGGAGCATTTGAATTTGTAGATAGTTTAGGCTCATATCAAGGAGCACTTGAATTTGTAGATTTGATGGAGCTTTCCATGTAAATTGCCCCCATGGTATTTGAGAAGAATATGGAAGATCAATTTTTTGTTTCCTCCATTCAGATATTTGATGAACACGACGATTTTCGACGGACTCATGGCTTGGGAAGACATCAACCTTCATTGCCCCAATGTACATTTTCTTCACAGAGGTCTTCATGCATCTTCAAAGATCTTCGAACTTAATTTGGAGAGAAGAGATGAGAGGTAGAGAAGGTCCCACCGGGCGTGCCAAATTTGTAACAACAAATTTTATGAAAAACATAAAACTTTTGTACAAATTAAATATATTTCGATCAAACGATATGCGGGTACAATCTCTATTTATCTCCTCTGATTCTTCTCTTCATGGATTTGGGTTTGAGATCTTGAAAGATGGATTTGACGATTGAATCTCTTTCATGCTTGAGATTGAATTTCTCTAACATTAACTTGGGGGTCGAATGACTTATTCCCGTATTAAATGTTAGGTCTTGAATTGATTGAAGAAGACTTTTTGGAAAACTTGATTCTTTGATCTTCTTGAAAGATGAATTTTGACTTGAATAACGTTGACTCGAGGGCTTGATAGCTTTTTCCCGGATCAAACGATATGTTTGTTGAACTTCTCAACGAACGTGGCTTGAATGTCGCTTGAACATCATTGATATTCTTGGATTAATTTGAGAGGAGTGGAAGTCGTCTCTTTACTTCTTGGGGAAGAGTCGCCGCCTCTTTTTCTTCTTCTTGGCATTCTTCTTCATTGAATGAACTTCGGGCAGTTCTTCAAGAACTTCTTCAAATCTTCAAGAGGGTTCTTGAGAGCCCTTGAATTTGGGACTTTAATCTTTGAGATGTGTTTGATATTTTTTAGGTGTTTGAGGTGTTTGAGGTATTTGAGGTGTGTTTTGTGGCATTGAGAAGAGCCCTATTTATAGGTGTAGGAGAGAGAGGTCTTGGAGAAGAAGACAATTTAATTGGTCCTTCATGATTTGACATAATCTATTTCTTTCTCCTAAGATTTGATATAATCTCTTTCCTTATTCTAAGATTTGACTTGGTGGACAATAAATATTAACTTTATTAATTAAATATCTTATTTATCATGGATTTATGTCCAAAAATAAATAAAGACATTAATTAATAAAATATTAAAATTTCGATGTCTACACTTTTCAAAAACAAAAAAAAAAAGTAGGCCATCTGTAACTCACTCACTCGCCGTCGCCGGCTACCGTATGCCCTCCTAAGATGTGTGTATTGGAAAGTCGAGTTGGGATCGCCATCCGTTCACTAGTGAATGTGTGAACGGACCCTAATCAATCATGTACTATTGGATTAAGCTGGAACAACAAGATTTTACAGGAACAAACGCACGCGAGAAAGAAATATTTATTTATTCCACTATATGTTCTTCAAACCCCTCCCAAAAAAAATAAAAAATAAAAAAATAATAAAAAAAAAAGATAAATATAAAAGACAAAAATGAGCATCTTTAGAGAATTATTACATATGAGCATTGTTTTGTGCCTCGGACCGGCCCGGCGGTTCGATCCGGGAACTAGTAGATCTGGAGCCGAAATCGATTCGGATGGGCTATTAGGATCGGGAACAATGGATCCGGTCAAACCCGGTCAAAACCCGTCCAACCCGGTCTTGACCCGGTCGAATCGGGTCATTCACTCGGCCGAATCAGCCCAGTTGACCCGGTCTCTATAAATTTTTATTTTTTTATATATTTTTTATGTAAAAAAACTATGTTTATATAATGACATAGTAAATATTTATTCTGAGATTCAATATTATTAACACTTAAATGTACAAATTTTGCATACAAAACATTTATTTTTGTTACTTTTTATGTATATTTATATGTCAAAAATATTATATATATATAATTTTAAAAATTTTAAAATTAATTACCCGATTCAGTAATTGACCGGGTGACCCAACAATTAAACTGGTGACTTGGAGACCTACCCGAGTCGATTTCCGGATCGAGTTTAAAAACTATAAACAATATTGAGGCCAAAACATAAAGTAATGCATCCTTCACGTGAAATCACACCAATTAATTAAACAATGAATTAATCAAATTCCATTAATTCCCAATCATTCTTTTTCTTTTTTTCCTCCCGACTTTCGAGAAAAAAACAAAAACATTTTCCAAACCTCGTCAACCAAATTCTCACGCCTCGTCACCCATCTCCTTTGTCTTCTTCCCCTTTGGCCTCCAAAAAATTCCTCTTAAAATCCGTGTGAAAATTTAGAAAAATTTTACGGTCTCGTTACGAAATATCGAAATTTGTAACCGTCAGAATAACTATTCTGAACAATTACTTGATGATCTAGCTATTATAAATTTCGACAGAATAATTCTATAATGTAGTATGTCCAACTTAACACAAAAAAAAAAAAAAAA